GCCAGTCCCTTATTCTTACTAACCTGGACACTAAAAAGGAAAGTCCCTTACATTTCTGCCTCTTTGATCCCCGATGGTAAATATCAGCCTGGTTTGGTGTTTACCAATTGGTTATTGAAGTTTTTTAAGCATTTACCACAAGCTCCTTGGGGCCTTTTTACGAGAAGCCGTTAGACTTCAAAAACACAGTATTTACTTTGTCTCAATGTCATTTCTTTGTTGTGTTTTTCAGCACAGGGAGGTACACAGTTTTTCACAGGTGCACTCTTTGGCGTGTGTGACATTCGATTTTTAGCTTTGAAACAGCAGGTGAGTGCAGCGGTTTCACCTCAGCGTGGAACATCCTGTCACATAACTGAGAGCTACTTCCTCCTCAGGAAAAAAAACATCAATATTTACTGGAATACACAGAAGCCTCTAAATCCAACCCTCCCCCCTAACCCACAGCATTCTTTTCTGTTCTAGTGCCAGTTGTCATCCCACCAGTGAGAGCTGTACCTCATCTTTATTTATGACCTTTTTTATTCTAATATTCATACACCGCAGAGAGGACATTTTGACAGCAAACATTCTGCATTCCTTCTGCTAGACTCCAAAGTAAAGTTTACATTCCTGGGATATTGGGTGGAATGCTGCCCTCTGCAGCTCTGGACCCCCTCAAGAAATACAAGTGGATGGAGACTGGGATGCTTAAGGAGAGGTTATGCAACACAAACTTTATTTAGAAAGTCCAAAGTCCTTATCTCAACATTACAGAGACAACCTGAGATTGCAGAAAGAGAGTGAAGACACTGAGACAAGAAAGTAACTGAGTTGACTTATCTATTCTTCTGTTTACTGAACTTTAGATGATTTGAAATTAATTTCTGATTATGAGTTATGAACTTCAGCAATCCATGAGATTTAATAGCAATGAAAATACTGTCAGTAACCCTGACTACCTTCAAAATAGAGACTGGATCCTCATGAAACCAAAAATAATGAATAAAGTTATGTACAACTTATCTAACATTGTGCAGGTCTCCATATTCCTACCATGATAGCTCTGAACCCTCAGAGTGGGGTGCGCTTCTTTAACAATGTTCAGGTTGCGTGGTAAATGTCAAGGTAACATTAACAAGAATGCTAGACCCAGTGTTTCTTAGCAGAACAGTGCATCGCAACAAGACGATCACTCGTATTCACCTAACCCATCAGTAGTTTTAATGCTGCGGCTGACTGATGCATTTAATAACAAAGTAGAATGGACAAGAGGTAGCATGAGCCATAACAACAGACAGGACAAAAGGAGGTTAAAATAAATGGATAAAAATACGATTGATTTATGATGGGAACAAGTCTGCTGCTAACAAGATTTCAGCTGAAAAGATAAATAAGCTACTGCTCCATTGCTCCATCGGATAATAGTACTTATTAGTAGATTTGCACCCTACATCAGGAGGGGACACTTTGTCCATCTCAAGGACACTCAATGCACTGCATGGCTACTGAAGGGCTCGAAATTGTAGTTTCTTTAGGGGACAGTCTGGACTTTGATTCAAGTGAATTAACATGGATCATACCCAGATGATCTAATTTAAGGAAAGATCAGAGCCCTGATTGGTTGGCCTGATTTCATTTTGTCACTACATAATGATTTGTCTGCATGTGAGCACTACTATAAAACAGCAGGCAGCAGAAGTGTTTATGTAGCTGTTCTGTTTCTGGAAAAAAGTGTTTCATAAGCACATTAACATACCACTCTAATAACATCATTAGAATGCCACTGAAAAATAAAAAGTAAGGTCATTGCACTGTGGTATATTATGAGCTTTATAGCAGCCAATACAACACTGCCCCCTGCTGGCAGCAATAATTACCTACTTTCTAATTCAGAAATGGGCTTTTTACCAAACATACCCATTATTATTAAGGTAATGTATATTATAAAGTACCTGCTGTGAAAAGTGCTTTGAATGTGGTGAGCACCTAAATTTACACATAAAGAAATGTGTTATCATTTCAAATGACTTCACTTAATGAAAACAGTTGTGTTTTCTGCATCTGGGAAAAATGCAATGAAACCTAGATTTACTGAGTCTAAAAGCATCTGTGTAAAGCAAACCAGGTAAATCTGACAAAAGATTGGATCAGGTGAATTGTAGGAAATGTAGGTTCCAGTGTTTTTGGAGCTTTTAGGGACTATAAACTGGATATAAATGGTGGACACACCCACTGTGACCTCAGCCACGGTTTCTGAACTGAGCAATTTAAATCCATCTACATGTTAGCTGCTAATTAGGGATTGCTACTGGATTAATAAACACCGTCATTTCAATCCCTAAAACAGAAATGCAGGCCTCTTGGACAGACTTCAAGTCATAGTATTTCAGATAGGTACTGTACATTACCCTCAAACTCCTAAGCTTCTTTTTGGAGCTAAACATTCAAAAGGCCATTAGAGGAACTGCCATTTCTGCCGCTTCTTGTTGGCTTCAATTTTGAGTTCCATGTTTTTAACAATGTTCTCTTTCATGTCCCTCGATCTGTTGGAAGTCTAATATTTATTACTTTGGTTCGGCCGTGACTCTGGACCAGTTGAAATGTATATCAGTTTTCTGCTCTGTGAATTAATGTAACTAGGCAATGCATAATTCAGAATTTGAGTTACAATGATCAAAATTTCTTCTCTCGTCTCTGGAAAAAAAAAAAGTTGACACAAGCAATGCCACCTTCTCTTCCATTTACGTTTTTTCAAACAGCTTCTTTCAGGAAAAAAAAGAAAAGGAAAGCTAATAGAAACTTATTTCCTCTGGTCCATCTTCTAATGACGCACTAACAAACCTCGCTTCAGTGAGGTCATTGTTCGTTCCAGAGGAGGTTATTATCTCCACTTTTTAACTTTTGAGCAAAAGAGTGTAGTTTCCATATACTATTGCTGCTGTTAGCTGTACTTATGTGATAAATTGGGGGTTTTCTAGACACATGACCTTACTTATATTATTATAAAATGATATGCATTAACAATTCCACCAAAAAGTTAAATCCTTTTAAAAATAATAAGTCCTTTAATTTGTCCTCCAAAACCTAACAATCTCCAGCTTCTCTTGTGGTAACTTTGTACCCAGTCAAACTTTCCTCATCCTCCACAGCTGGGAGGTTTCTGTTGGGAAGGAAAATCCTGCTCAGCTATTTGCAGCAACCTGCTACTTTCTGTGTGTGTAAGCAGCTCAAAATATTCCCTGTCCTACTGACGCTCAGTTCAACTCTTTCTGTGCCTCAGTGATGAATTTCCAACAGTGTCCAGTATTCCTCATCACTCGCTCTGCCATGGAAACTTTTGCTTTCTGCGTCACAGCAATCTGTTACTTCCACATCCGAGTCCAACTCCAACACTGTCTGTTCTGAAATATTCTAGCTACCTCAACTGCTCCCTGATCTCATCCTCTGTTGAATGCTATTTCCTCCTGTTTACATTAAACAAGAATATCATATAACCTACCATACAACGCGGATTTTTAACTATTTTCAAGGTACACTTGAAGATGTTTTTCATTAAAATTCCCATGAGGTGTACCACAAGATCTATTACTAGTCCTCTTTTCTTTTCTTTTTTTGTTTTTCACTTCACTATTTATATTTAAATGCTATTTTTGTGAAATCAGAGACATTCACTTTTATGTAAACAACACTGGGTCTGGCATAACCCCAGCCTTTAATGAAACATTTACTTAGGCCACCCTTATCTGGAAAAAATGCTGACTCAGTATTGTCACCAAGAAATAAGAACCAGCTCTCAAAAGATACTCAAAGTTTACACTCAACCCTGGGTACATACAGGTAGCAAGACTCAGATCTTGATCAGATAAATTTCCAATACTAGATTCCCTAGAAATGAGATGATGACCACTTTGTACTCTAAATCTAAAGCTTTTACAAAAATAATTGCAAATATTTACCATAGTACCAGAGGAACCAACGTTTAACTGGTTCTTGACTACTTTCTTTTTCATCTTGGTTCCATGAAACACAAAAAAATGAATCTGCAAAGCAACTTCTTGGGAACCTCATGGATTTTAAAACACTTTGATATGAATTACAGGTTTGATTTTTATGAGGCATTGTGCAAGAGGAATGCCAAGCCCATTTTGCAAAAGTCAACAGCTGGTTGCAGCCTGTTACACAAAATGCTCTCACCATGGTAACTAACTATTGACATATGTGGAGGCATATGGGGCAGTTGGTGATGACTAATTTGAAATTGAGTAATTGGTAGATTTAAATTTCATCTGGCTGTCTGTGATTTTGAGTATGGGCATACAGTAAACACCAATCTATATTAAACTTTCAGGTCATACTATAGTTTAAATCGAAATCATCACAGACTTAAGTATTGATTATCATCATTTTCTTGTCTTTCTCTCATACAGATCCTTAATAATCATAATAATAATAAATATTTTTTTTAAAAACTGCTCTAAATTTTGTGGATTTTTTTGTTTTTCACTGAACTCTTTCAAAACTGCCCTGGGATAGTTACAGGAACTGAATAGGAGGCTGTGAAATCTCAGCTTTTTTCCCCACCAAGAAATTTTTTTTATTTTGTGAAATTTAAAATGTCAATTCAAGTCATTAACAAAGTGCTTCGATTTTCAAAATAAAAAGGTCACAGTTGACAATGAATCTGTCTCAGCTCTAGTATGACGGGAGGCAAATCACCAAGAGGTCATAAGATCAAGAAGAAGATGAATAAGACAAAACAATCCAAACTGTTCATGGGTTAAGTTCAACCCCCACCCCACCCACCTCCACCTCCCTTTTCCCCCCTCTTTCTTCCATTTGTTACTGAAAAGGAAAATGAATCAAAATAAAGTTTTAAAAATATATTTCAAAAAAAATTATTAATTTGCTATCTCACTTCAGCTTTCTACCTCCAACTTGGTAGCAGTACAACAGTCTCAGAAAGTGCATAATCTAGTTTCAAGTATCCTACAATTTTGGTTAAAAATCACTCTTCACACTTCAGATTCTGAATTTTTATTTAGCAAATAGAAGACAGTTCGCACGCACACACACATAATTTTCCATCGGGTTCAAATACAGAAGCATGACAACAACAGTGTTAGTGTTAACTAATACAAGGTAACTTAGGATACTTTGCATTAGTATATTTTGGTTTAAGATCGGTCGTCTAATTATTTGTTTTTAAAAACAAGGGATAAGAGAGTTCTCACAGAAAATAATGACAACTTTCCTTCAGCTCTTACGTAATTTGCTCAATTAGATGCCTTTTCCTGAGAACCACAAGTGAATGCCAAATAACCTACAAATGCTCTCACTGTGTATTACTTGACTTGCCACTATTTACTGTGAATATTTTACTTCAATCCTTTGTGTGACAGGCAGTGAAATCAAAAGGATTTCCCTGACAAGCTAAAAGAAATAAGTCCCCTACTGAATGTACAAACATGATTATTGGAAGAAGAAAAAAAAAAAATGGGACGCTGGGTAAAACATTTTTTCATGGTTGGCTACGTTTTCTGTGTTCACTGCATTCTGCTTTTACTTACATTTTACACAGCGCTGCCATTTTTCCAGAATTGGTCTCATAATAACAAACCCTTCCCCTTATTATTTGGAGTGTAGTCTAACATCTTAACAGCAAGATTAAAGTTGCACTTGCTTTTATTTTTGTTATACATAAGACTGAATAAAAATCTAATAATTTGAAATATTGGAAACAACAGATAAAAACACTGTTGCCCCTCAGAGGCTTTAAATATTCTGACTGTAGTTTGGCTACATTTTACTGCAACCCACACCTAGCGCTTGTTCATTTCCACTTAATTTACATACTGCACTTCATTGTTTTATTGCTGAGAAACTTATAGTATGTGGATTTTGCATATCGTTAGCTTCATAGCATAAGTGCCTAAGTCATTTTTATGTGTTTTGTGTTTCAGACGGACAGGATGATGCAGCAGTGGTAGGGGAGTAAAGTTAGGCAAAAATCTCAATTTGACCAAAAAATGACTTAGGCACTTATGCTATGAAGCTAACGATATGTAACCAGACAAAAAGAGGCAGCTGCAGCAGCATCCCCTACCAACATGCTGCTTATTGCACCCAGGAGCATTGTGTGTACTGTGTACATTCAATTTATTGGAGCGACTCCACATTGCTAGGGCAGGACGTACTCAACAACAATGACTGCCACTAAACACGAATACTCGCCTCTTTCATCTGATAAGTCTTCCATTTCAGAGGAAACCATGCCTAAATCAGACACTGATCATGACAATAAAGCTACCAGAGCTAGATTTGCTTCACAGCAAACAAGGTTGTAGTCCTGACATTGAGGACTACAATATCTTAAAAACATAATTGATTTAAAAAAAAAAAAAAAAAAGACAGACGGTGTTTCAATCTTTTTCCCCTCTGTCAGTTTTTGAAGAAGAAAAAGATTAAGAATGAAATTTCATTCTTGGTCCATGGTGATAAACACAGGAGGAGGAGGAGGAAGCCCTCAGGCTTTGAGGGAGCCCCAGATGATTAGTCCTACTACAACAGCAACAACAACCAACACTATCAATATAATGCAAATCTTCTTCCGGGAGCTTTGCTAGAAGAAAATAAGCAGAAGGAATTTAATGTTTTTGAATTTTCTTTCCTTTATGATCTAACTAATAAGTTGATTAAATGATGTACAGTCATGCACACATTCTGCTTTACAGAAACAGGCTCTAACAACCAGTCTTGCTTTACTAATCCAAGTTAAAATCTCATTTTTCTAGCATTTATTACAGCTCATCTGTCTTTTCATACTCCTGTTCCTCACCACTTCTGTCATATCATACATTAAGATATCTCTGTCACATTACCTGGTGGCCTGCAGCTCGGGCCAGCTGGTGCACCCCTTTCTGGATATTGGTCTCGGTATTCTCCACGTTGGCTTCTATGCTATCTGCAGGAAACAAAACAAAATACATAATTTACTTGCGGTAAGAGTAGAAACTGCACAATCCTGCTCACTGAGCCGTAAACTGTCAATGTGAAGCTGTTACACCTGTCAGCATTAACTTACTGAAAGATTCTTACCTATCATGTCTCCTTGCTCGTGGACCATCATACCCAGGTCCTTGAAGATGTCATTTATGTCTACGATGTCAGACTAAAAATCAAGAGAGCCGCTCCATATTCAAGAGGCACTTACAGTATGTTTGTGACTTTGTGTTTGTGGAATTTTCTTTGCACAGATATTAGGTGTTGAAATTTGATCTCTACCTCCAGCTGCCTTAGAGCTGATTCTCTCTCCTGGATCAGTCTCAGATCTTCTTCAGTGACAGCGTCAGCCTGAACCTGTATCTGGGAATCACTGCATACAGATGCAACGAGAGTAGTTAAAACATTATTTACTATAATAATAAAAAGCAGAAAGAATAATACTGTTCAGAAACAGTGGGCTTACCTCGGTATAGGAGGAACATTTCGAAAGCTGTCTTCAGGCTGACCACCCTGCTAGAAGTCAATTGAACACATTTAAGTCTTATTGTTGCAAATCTGCAGAGGTCCTTCTATTCCTGATTATGGGTATAGCAATGATTCAGTAAGTACAGAATGTCCTTTGCTGCAATATATAAGTAAAAGAAAAAGAATTATTCAGTATTTGCAGAACACTTCGTTGTTAAAATATATGCATGGCAAAGTTGAATAAATTCACCTTGCAGCTTTATTTACTGTGCAAAAATAAATTATTAAACATAGCAGCAGTAACACGCTGTTCCTACTTATCAGCAGCATAGCAGATAAAAAAAAAAAAAAACTTTGAGTGAAGTGAGATAAGCAAGAGTGAGATACGGGAACACAGCTGTGAGTGGGTCCAATCATGGGAATCTGTGACTACAACAATCACAATTAAAGATACTTTTTGATTCACAATCATGTGACAGCTTCATGTGAAACTACTTCTGAACTGATGCCTGCGGTTGCAACAATTTTAAGAGAGGAGTGAAACTGTAACCAGCTGTGACTATTTCAAGCAAGCACTGTGGTGGAATACAGTGCAATAACAATTTTATGTGGATTTTTGTAAAAATAAAAAAGTAGAAATTTCTCAGCAGAAGCCGACATACTGAAGAGAGAAACCCAACAAGGTTTGTGAACGAACACTTTGTGACAGTGGGGAGAGAAAGATAACCCCCTTAACATGCAGCAGAACTACACTCAGCGATGGTGACCATCTGCCTCGGCAGGCTGGGGAGAGGGGAAGCAGAGAGTGAAAACAGTAAGAAACACGAAAGTGAGAACAAACACTAGTGAAATCTGCTGCTGAAAGGAAAAAGGCAGCGAGCCTTGATGTACAGCACCTACTTGTTTTGCTGGATTGTTAGTGCAAAGCTTAAACAAGCTACTAAAAAGCTTTGCATAAAACCTTTTTTTTTTTTTTTCCTATGGTTTCAAGAATGTCTAATTTTCAAGTCTCTACTCTTCTGTAGGTTTTCAATAGGATACCAAACATATTCTCCTCTGCTATCCATCACAAGCACTTATGCTGACAAAAATCGCCTGTATGTGTCGTCCAGTTTATGGCTAAGCAGAAAAACACAACACTTCTTAAACAGCACTTCACACGCGTGTCAAAAGACCTGAATTCCATCTAAATCTACGCAATGATGTAATATATGTGTTTACATTTATAGCAGTGGCTTCACCCCACTCTCATACTCCCATACAGTACCTATTTTATAACTGTCGTTTAATGCTCTACCCAACAACTTGGTGATCTGATGACAGGCAGTTACTTACAGACAGTCTGGAGCTGGCTCTGACTCTGGCCACAAACTCCTTCTCTTTGCTGGCGGCTTCTCGCTGCGACTTTTGAAAGCTGTTCAGAGCAGCGGAGAAGTCGTTCAGCAGGCGCTCTCTCTGTATCTTTCTCTGACGCTAAAGTAAACACAAAAATATTGTAAACAGATGAACAAATGGACTTGTCAGAACTATGGTCTGTAGTTAATCAGTCTGGTATGGTACCACAGATTCTACAGAAAAGATGGATTACAATGCTCATTGGTCAGTGGACTGCTATTTTGAACATTTAGATGTTGCCATGGTTTCTTTGGAACTACAAGTAACCACTTTGAATGAAAGAGTGAAGCGCTATGATGTGATATATAAATAACAATTATAGCTAAGAAGAAGTCAAAAGCATTTTTGTTTCAATCTGTCAACACATTTATTTCTGCAGTGAAGCTGTGAAGTTGGGCATTTAACATGGGAGTCTATGAAGACTGACTCAATTTTGTAACCAGGCCCCAGGGACATGTGAGGAACTACAGCCTTTGTGCCAGTGAGTTTATTTTTCAGACAGAGAGAGAGGTTGTTCTTTGTGGTTTGCTTGACTGTGACAAACCTTTTACATCAGGAAGACTTTACAAACTCATTACCTGATCAGGTCCGACTGGGAGTGCAGTAAAAGCTTTCATCAGTCGGTCAGTCTCCTTTGCCAAGTGGTTACCTTGTTGCTGCTTCTGTTGACTAATGACATTAAAAAATTAATTTGTTAAAGTAGAGAATAGTACTCAGACATTACAAAGACAAAGGATGGTAGGCATAATACTGTGCATAGGTTTAAGTAATTTAGAGTATATAAAAAAATTAGCCGGCATTAAACATTGCTGTAATAGTCTAACATTTTCTACGCTTGCACATTTACACTTTCACTAAGATACTTCTGATAACAGCCCAGGTATGTAAATCCAACCAAGCCCCAGTAACTCACATCGTCTGTAGTAGCTGGCTGCTGTCCTGTTCAGTTCCCAGCACAGAGATTGCCCTTTGCAGCTCGGAGGCTGGCAAGAAAGTCACAGAGAAGCATGTTGTTTATTTGTATTGAAGTGTGTCCACGTGTTGGACGCGCTGGCTGACAATAATGCGTTTTTATGTGTGCATTTCTTACTCAGCAGTGTGATCTTCTGGATGTTGGAGCTGATCTGGTTAACCAAAACACTGGGCTCCTCTGGAATCCCAGCCTGGTAGGCCATGATGAAAGCTACGAGGACACACAAGACCACAGGCTTCACTCGACTCGCTCATGAGTTAACAGTGAGATCTAATTAGCGTCTGGAGTCAGCTCACTGTTCTCGTGACTGTCATGTGTAGAAAAAAACAAAAAAACAAAAAAAAAAGAGGCTTTCGGGGTGAAAGCATTTGTGTAGATATAGTATAATCATTGTATCTTGCAAATTTCCAAGAAGAGATGTTGCAACTGTGCTTCTATTTATGGCATCTTTGACATTAGGTACAGCATTAAATACAAGATAAAACAGTGATTTCTGTGATCTCCTCTCCCCAAAAATGATGCAACGTTTGTGACACCCCCTTACATTTCACCTTCTTTCTACAGGTTTTCATCTTGAAGCAAAGCTCCAGAAATATCTGTTGAGAAGCTCACTACTATCTTTCACTGGGTGCTCCTTAATACTCATGAACTCAGTCCGGGGTTTTATTCTCACACAACACAGTAAAGCCTGCCACACGGCTGGTGTCCTCATTGCTCACAGTGTTTAATAAATTTGAGTTCAGAGTTCTGAGGGGGCAAGTTTATTTCTTTTACACAGGAATACTCTCTTATTAAAAGTACAGTGGACCCCCCCTCCTCCCCAAATACTGAGTACAGTGTGTGATTAGTCACAGTAAGCTTAAGCTTCAAGCTAAGAGGAGCAAGGATGGAAGCTGAAATAGTAAAGTGAAGGAGTGGCTTAAATAAATCACTTTATAATATAACTCATGACCTAGAAATGGTTCAGAGGTCCAGCTTCTTTGGAATGTGATACTGTAAACATGAGCAACCTGAAACAATAAAAAAAATACTGTAACAATAACAAGTTTTATGCTGGTACTTATCCACTAAAAACACTGCGAAACTAATACACTTACATTATTGAGAGATCACACAAATGATCATTACAGCTAAAATGATTTGATATCAATGCTGTGAAATAAAATATTATAAATATGCTGCAGAATTAAAATATTTTCGTCTTTTAACCTTAAAAAAAAAAAAAAACAGCTATCAAGGCCAAAAGGAAAGTCCTACAGTCTGATAAAGGTGCTCATATCATACTGTACAACCTGAAGTGAAGGAGTGTTGGGCCGGGAATATTTAGCACAAGCTCCTCATGCAGACTTCCTGACTCAAAAAAGACTGAAACTTAGTATGCAAATAGCCACCTGCTAAGAAACTGTCACAGTGACAGGATATTTCTCGTTTGCTTTAATTAAAAATTAAAGTGTGATTAGGGTTAATTAAACCAACGTGCATGTTCTGAGGCTGTTTCTGTCTCCTTGCCAACAAGGAAAAAATGCGGAAATCACCAGAGTATTTTTTTTATGCCATCAACATGAACGGATAAACTGCAAATACTTAGTTATGACCTACTTGTGTTTGTTGGGGTTAACGCTGTCCTAATGTTACCTGTACACTGCTCTTCATTTTAACATTAGCGGGTTTAAGAGTCATGAAGTTACAAGGGAAGTCAGTATGAAGATGTTTGTCGCTTTTCGTTGTAAAACAAAACAAAAAAACTTAAAAATACGAAACAACCTCGTAAAAATACGTTGGTCGTCTAAAACGTTAGTGAAATTGTCAAGAATGACTAAAAGTTTACTTGAGTTGTGTAAAAGTTTGAACTTTACCTTTCTCGTGACTTGTTTCTTGCGTCGTTGTGCTTCCTGATTTTTTCTTTTGGCCACTCCTCCGTCACATGATGTCTGCTGCACTCCCAGCGAGACCGCAGCTGTAAATTAAAGGTGTCAAACGGTAACATAATGCAGGCCAGAAAAGTATAGAAACAAAAAACTGTCCTTTTCTTAAAAACAGAGCAACGACGCAGCACAGGTTAAGTGCTTCATGATCTTTCATTCTTAGGTATTTATCGGCTGTAGGCTACCAGGTGAGATGCTGGTTCGTGGGCAGGTGAGGGGTCCAAATCAGTTCCAAAAATGCTAGTTTACACTGGACAACATCAGTGCTTTTAGTTAGTGTAAGAGCCATAAAAAGGATTATAATTCTGTTTAGGTCTTGGGTGTCATATATGATGCTCGGGGCCCAGAATCGGCCTTATAAATTGAATTCACATTGAATTGAATACATTCCTTTTAAATCGTGGGCCAACTTTACAAAAGCCCCTTTCTCTGAACGTAAAGACGTTTAACAGCACAATTAATCCCCTTTTATATAAGAAACAATTAGTGCAATTTCAACCTCACACCTATGCCGTTTTTCTACATGGTAAAGTTGGCTGGTTGGTTTCCACAGTGTGTTTTTAGCCTGTTTCCTTCCCATTGTGCCCAACTAGTCACTGCAGATGGCCTCCCCATGTTGAGCCTTGTTCTTCCAGAGGTTTCTTCCTGTTAAATGGAAAGTTTTTTATTCCCACTGTCACAATTTGCTTTCTCATAGAGGGTCATTTGATTGTAGCAGTTTTCTCACTGTTATTGTAGGTTCTTTACCTTAAAATATAAATCTACTTTTGATTTGGCATTAAGTAAAATTTAATTGCACTATGTGTGCAGAAATGTGCACAACAATATAAGTATGAAGGGCCAGAGTCGTCTCTATTTTTTGAGGCGACTGAGGTCCTTCAACATCTGCCAGAAAATGCTGAGGATTTTCTATGAGTCTGTTGTGGCCAGTGCAATCCTCTATGCTGTTGCATGCTGGGGGAGCAGGCTGAGGGTCGCAGATGCCAACAGACTTAATAAACTAATCCGTAAGGCCAGTAATGTTGTGGGGATGGAGCTTGACACCCTCAAGGTGGTGTCGGAGAGGCGGATGCTGTCCAAGATAAAGACTATGTTGGATAACACCTCCCACCCACTCCATGACATGCTGGTCAGTCACAGGAGCACGTTCAGTGAGAGACTGAGATTACCAAAAAGCACCACTGAACGACACAGGAAATCATTCCTGCCTGTGGCCATCTCCCTGTACAACGCATCCACTTAACACACTGTTTGCTGCTACAGCTACACATGTTTCTTTTCCAACTATTTATTTATGAGTGAAGTATGTATGTGTATATATGTATATATTGTACTATTCTTATTCTTAGTTAGTGTATTGTCTGTCTTGTCTTAATGTTGGTTTAAAATGAAGCACTGTAACAAAAAATAATTTCCCCCAGGGATTAATAAAGTATTCTGATTCTGATTCTGATTCTGATAAAGTGTGTCCATGTGCTTCAGTGTGTATGTATGTTACTAGTCTAGTTGATTCATGTAGGGTGTTCACTTCTATGTGCATGAGTTTCCAGTCCAGACTCTGAGTACTGAGCTTTCTGAGGCCTGAAGGAAGAAACTGTTGCACTGACTGGAAGTGAGGGACTAGATGTTCTGGTACATCTTGTGAGGCGGCAGGAGAGTAAAAGGTTTGCGTCAGGTGTGTGGGGGATCATACACAATGATGGTGGCTTTGTGAATACAGAGTTTGTGGGAAATGTCCTTGAAGGTGGGGAAAGAAACAGTGGTCCTGCAGCTAACATGGGTCATAACTGATTAACCACAACAAAAACAAACAACTGACAGGTGAAATGAATACATTCATTATCTCTTTGCAATGCAGCGTTTTCATGGAAAACCTTGTATTTTAAAATTCTTGTGAATGTTACTTTTACAGGTGTCTATCCACCAAATATTTCACTAGCACCCTCCAATGGCAGCATCCTCCTATTGCAGGACAGCGCATCTTGCTACTCCACAAAGCTGCTCTGGACACTTAATTTGCATAAATCAAACTCCTCAGATCCCAACCTGAACATTCACGAAGGAGCCAGAATAGATCATCCACGGTGGACACACCAACAAGACCAAAGGGCTCATGTTCATGCATTAATGGGCCAGAACTGAACTGTGTACAAATGATGGATGTAATGTAAATGTGTCTGTCTCTAAAGCGCTTTGGTTCACCTTCTGTGGTTTATATGTGCTAGATTGCCGGTTCAAGCCCCAGCTTGGACAGTCTCGGTCGTTGTGTCCTTGGGCAAGACACTTCACCCGTTGCCTACTGGTGGTGGTCAGAGGGCCCGGTGGCGCCAGTGTCCGGCAGCCTCGCCTCTGTCAGTGCGCCCCAGGGTGGCTGTGGCTACAATGTAGCTGCCATCACCAGTGTGTGAATGTGTGTGTGAATGTGTGGATGACTGGATGTGTAAAGCGCTTTGGGGTCCTTAGGGACTAGTAAAGCGCTATATAAATACAGGCCATTTATACATACATGCCACCATATTGCTGAAATATATTTCTTTTTAATTTGCTACCCTACTTTACATATAAAATTGGCTTTGCTTTCAGAATAATGCAGAATCTGGATTAAATAGTATTACCTAACAGTTCACTTGCTAACACCACCTCAACTTTTTAAAATTGTAGTTATAATTTGGTTCTTGGTGTTTACTCCATGCAAAGTGTGGTAATTTTACAAAACACATTATGATGTTACATAAAGCTACGAGACATGTTCTGTTTACCAGACGCATCAGGCACATCAAAGTTCACTCAGATTAACCAAATCAATAACAGTCTTAACTTCTGTATCCAGTACAGACTCACTGGAGTATACTGCACTTTGTTAGGTGCACTGGTTTGACTGATTCTTAAGGTGATTCTCTAATCAGCCAATCTCATGGCTGCAACTACATGCATAGACATGTAGACCATATCTAAATGTCCAGGCACATAGCCAAGGCCAAGATAACCTAATGAAGTTCAAACTGAGGATCAGAATGGGGATGAAAGATTATAGTGGCTTTAAAGGTGTTGGTTGTTGTGGGCTGGTCTGGCTCTTTTAGGAATTTCCCCACTCAGCCATCTCTAGGGTTTACAAAGAAAGGTCCAAAAAAGAGAAAAAAGACTGCTTCAAGATTATAGTAAGGCAACAGTATCTCAAATAACCACTGAACCTTGAAGCAGATGGCCTCCAGCAGCACGCTGGATGCCACTCCTATCAGCCAAGAACATAAAACTAAGGCTATGGTCAGCACCTTGTTGAGTGTGTGACACAAAGAATTAAGGCAGTTCTGATGAGAAAAGGGGGCCCAACCTGGTGCGAGCAAGGTGTAGCTAATGAAGTCTTCGGTGAGTGTATGTGAAAGTAAATTTTATGAGTTTTTCCAGATAAAAAGTGTTATCTTTGGCTACTTAAGGGGGTAAAAATCTGTATAATGTTTCCAAGGATTCTTAGAATTTATTTGGGGTTTGTGTTTCCAGATTCAATTTACTGATGGTATCACTGTATCACTATAAAAGTTGTGGATTTGGGTTCATGTAAACAAATCAGCTTGAACGATGAACAGATGTACTTTGCACTGAACTCAGTATTCTATGTTTGGACAAAATTGAGCTCTATGTACTTAATTTCTCTTATCTGTTGGTCAGGGTCCAGTGAGCCATATGTCACATGGACTAATGTGATTGGTGCACATCTGCATGCACTGACTTTGATATTCAGAGAAGTTACAAATGCTGTATTTAAGGGAAAACTCTCAGTCCAGAGTAGCTGCTCTTGACCCAACACCTCAGTCATGCTTCGTTTGCTGGTCCTTGGCCTTGTCCTGGCATGTGCAGTGTCTCTCAGCAGCTCTGCAGTAATTCTAGAAAATGGCACTCCCATCCTTTGGGCACAAACGGCCAGCCAAGTGACTGAGTTGCCAATGCACGATGGGATTCTGGTTCCAGACCCCTGGAACTACCTTCACCGCATGAGTTTATACCGGCTGATGATAGCTGCTACAGACCCCTTCATGGGATCCATGGGGACAAATGCTACTGACAGTCCGCTGTGGGGACTGCCACTGCAGCTCGGATGGATGTTAACTTCAGGTGAAGTCAAAGTATCATTTCTTTTTTTTTTTAAGTCAATAATAATCCTTTCATCACAATTTAACAAACTTTGTTGTACAAAACTGAATAAAGAGCCTCCTAATAATGTAACTAACAAAGAAACAAGACCACAGCTAATGATCTGTTGTTTTTACAGGGCGTCTCGCTGATCCAACGGGTGCAACAACTTGTGGCCTGGAAGCAGAGCCTATGTGCATTTCTACCCAGAGTTGGTGGGCCTGTAAGTACAAGAAACAAATGCATAAAAAATAAACACAGGGGGAATACAAATGACCTCTTTATGTTTCTCCAGGTGTGAACTATTTTGCATCTGTACTTCCCTTTCTGTCTGCTGCACAACAGGGCTTCATGGGAGCAGGAGCTCAGGTATTATCTTAAACTGAAAATGAACACTTTGAAAATAAAACAACAGCAACAACAGCAATAAGAAGGAGAAGAAGAAGAAGAGGACACTTTTTCATGCCATCACACAAATATTTGCGGTTTAAATAATAATGAATATGACCATTTTGTATTATTTATAATGTATGTTATATAGTGCATATTATCATGTATGTGATTACATTACCAGGTCCAGATGCAGGTGCCTGCAGGAGTACAGGACTATTGTACAACTTATGCTGACTGTAAAGCTAAATACCCTGATGCCATGTCTAAGTGGGATGCTTTTTTTCAGGTATTGAAACACAGATATACACTGGTACATATACACACAGTTTCTATTCACATCATATTATCCCGCAATTTTAAAGGGGAACTGAACTTGTATTATTTTGCCCTTAGCAGAAAACATTACATTTTAAAAAGTCAGGGCCATGTGCCATTATAGTTCAAAACAGGTCTGTGTTCCCTGAATGCACCAGCTTTATGAAGCAACAAAGCTACGTTGCTGAAATAGGT